TCACCTGCTCTCCTCGCCAGAAAAAGTCGAGATATACGGCGAGGCTGGGGTTAAGCAGAGGAGGCCAGTTAGCGAGGAGGAAAGGCGAAAAGGTGCTCAGAAAACCAACAAACCGGAGGCCAGGCTGATTCCTCGCGGCGATTTCTTTTTAGCTTCTCCTTTATTTTGTCTATTCCTCGGCCGTGTTTGTGTTTGCGGGCGCTTATCAGATCCCAGCTTCATTCAACGCTTCAATCCGAGGGGGGAGAAAGAGAAGGAGAAGAAATGGTACACTCCTCCATCTTTCTTTTATTCAATCTATCTGCCTCTCTCCGGCTAACCTCTGAGAATAGGAGCCTTGAATTTGAATTTCAGAGCAAGTAAGTGGTGGAGGTGGTGGTTACGGGGAGAAGGGGAGGGGATCGGATGGACCGAGGAGGGAGGGATGGAGGGAGGGAGAGGCGGTCGTTGCAAAAGGGCCTGCTCGCCGCGTCCCCTGGCCTCTCCCCTCGCTGGGGCCCCGATCGATACCAACTCGGAGCAATAAAGCTTTCCCCCTGTCATCTCTGCAGAATACAAAGCAGAATGGAGGGAGGGGGGGCAGAGGGAGAGAGAGAAAGAGGGAGAGAGAGGTGAAAAGCTGTTCCGCTAGCCAGACCAATTTCCTAACCCCCCTCCTGGCTTCTTCTTCTTCTTCTTCACCCCAGCACACCATCAGCACCAGCACCTTGTATATACCTCCTCTTTTATCCGCCCCGTCCCGAAAACACACCCCTCCCTCCTTTTCTTTCAACTCACGCCATCCAACAAATCACTACATTATGAATACGGCATCAATAAACTATGCAACAGATCTGCTCCCCGTGTTCGGCGAATACCGGGAACGAATGCAACCTTAAAGGAGGTGTCAGCCGAGGGGGGGGGTTACGGAAAGATGGATGGAGCGATACAGGTGGAGCAGAGGGGTGGAAGGAGAGGGGGTGGGGTTGGGGGAATATTGATAAGGGGTAGGGGGCCGTGCGCAGAGAGGGGTGAGGGGGAGAGGGAGAAAAAGAGAGAGAGAGAGAAAAAAGGGGTGAGGAGGTCAAACAGCAATCCCCAGAATTGAGAGCCAATTACTGTAATTGTAATCTGGATTCAAAGAGAAGGCGCACGGCGGTGGAGGTGACAGGGGCGGGCTGGCTGTGATTGCGCGGAGGTGTGGGGTCGCGCAAGAGTTTATATTACGTCCTGGGCTACACGTGATTAACTTTTACATTTTTTTTTTATACATACGCTTTTGTTAATTCGCCTGACGATGAATGTAAAGCAGAAGAAGAATTAGAGACGGCGGCTGGACACTTGCGAGGCTCTGAAGAAGACGTCATCCGCACAAAATTAAAACATAAACAAAAACAAAAAAACTATAACCTTGCGTAAAAGTCTTAATTTTCTTCAAGTATTCCTAAAACGTCCGCGAGAACAAGAACGATAACGTGTAAAGCTTCCAAATGTAACTTTTTATCTTTCTCGATTCAGCCGATGAGCTCGCTACGCCGAACCACCTTCATTTCCGCAGATAATTACGTCAGATGCCCTTCCTCTCCAAAATGGCGACGCTTTGGCAGTGGCCGTCAAGTGTCTTGATTACCCGCGGTGGGCGAGTCAATACGCCTCTAGCGATATTTGATCCTGTGACCTCATGGTTAGATGGCGAACTCTTAGGCCACTGCTTCACTGCACTGCTGACTACGAATGTAACGACGTCCAAATCTCTCGGTACGATATTATCACGATATGCATCTCATGGTACGATATTTATTGCGATAATTGTAGATAGGAAACTTTATTTTGCTTTTAAAATACCATGACAAGATTTTGGTGTGAATTATTTCCGTCGTAATCCCAAGAATTCAAGTTAAAAACATATCTCTTCATGTTGTCTGCGCTGAAATGAATCATGGGATATGTAGTTCAAGTTCAAGTTCCATGCATTTAAGCAAAGGAACTTGTGATTCGATATATTGTGATGGTCCGCGATGTTATTGTGAGACTTTTGACGATACGATATCACGATATTTTAGTTATTTTTACATCCCTACTACTGATATAGAAACTAAAACTAACATTCAAATAGTCAAAGACACATAAAAAGTCAAGTTTCACTGCTTAAAATACTTGTTTCTAGAAATTCAAGTGGAAATAATCAGCTTTGTCAATTAAATCAGAAGTATCTTTGAATGTTAGATCCAACTACTATAAAGGTGTAGTCTGTAACTTTTCTAGTGGCACCTTTCTAGACACCTAGGAGGAGATGACGATGTTTTAGCTTTGCCCTAAATGTTCAAGAATAGGGATGTAACAATAACCGAAATATCGCGATATCGTATCGTCAAAAGTCTCACAAAAATATCACAAACTGTCACAATATATCGAATATGCATGGTTTTATAGTAGAAACAGCTTATAAACATCGGGAACTACATATCCCATGATTCATTTCAGCTCAGATAACATGAAGAGATATGTTTTTTAGTTGAATTCTTATGATTATGATGGAAATAATTCACACCAAAGTCTTGTCAAGGTGTTTTAAAAGCAAAAAAGTCTGTCAAAAGCCAAAATATCACAATAAATATCGTACCGTGCGATTTGGTTTCATTTATTTATTGCTGTTCTATGACTTTGCTCTTATTTTGTTTTACTGGTTTTATTATTTTAAGGCTAGTATGATTATTTTAGTAGTTTATTTATCATTTTGTTGTCATTATTATGTATTCGTGCAGCACTTTAGTGAAATCTGCTATAGAAATAAAGTGGATCGGATTGGATTTGGATATCGTTACGTCCCTATTCAACGGTTTTAGGCTTATATAATTAAAGAAATGTAAGTGTAATACGGATTCATGCGATGAGTAAGCTCGCGTCTGCACAGATTTGACGCTCAGTGCCGTTTCTCGCAGCTCGTACGTTCCAGACTCAAACAGCCACGTGTCCGCGGCGAAAAGTTCCACAGCGCACCTTTAAGCTCGTCTCTATTATTCTTTTATTACCTATAGAAAACCTGCCAGCCAATTCAAAGCGGGTGAAGCCTCTATGTCTACAAATGTCCTCCATCTTGCCCTGTCCATTCCGTGTCCCTGCACAGCATTGAACATGTCACTGGCCCAATCAACTATTGTGCTCTTGTCAATTTAATCATATTTGGGAGCTCTGACCTCCTCCACTCTGCCATCTCTCACTATGACTATCTCCTATATATTTTTGTTCTGTCTTTCTCTCTTTCACCTCAGCCTAACCCCCCTCGCTCCCTCGCTCCTCTCCTGCTCCTCCTCCTCCTCCCTGCTCCACTCCCTGTCTCTCATTCTGGCCTTTATTAGAAGAAGATAGCGCGAATCCTTCATCTCTCCTCCACTAATTCTCTCCGTTATTGCCCGACCCCTCCCTCTCTTCACCTCCGTCCACTCTTCCTTCCCCGTCCTTCTTTTCTCTTCTCCGTGATCTATATTGCTAGTGTTCTTTAAAAAACCCTGGCCTCCTTTCTTCCTGTTATGATTTCTTCCCGAGCTTCACAATTCTTTCTCTGTATCACCTCTCGTATACATGTCATAGCACTATCTCTCCTCTCCTCTTTTCCCCTTCTCCTCGGACTTCATCCCTCCATCTCCTTATCTCCACATTCACACACCTCTCCCGGACAGAGCCTGCATGGATCTTGTTCCGGTCGACTCCTCCGGGCTCATTCCGAACACTGTCCCTTTTTACTTTTTCATCATCATAGGCTTATTTTGTCTTGTCCCCTCCTCGCAGCTCGCCCACTTCCTTCCTCTTCCCTCTCTCTTCCTCACCCTTTCGTTCCCTGGGGAGGTCAGTAATAATGGTAGTGATGGAGTGAGAGAGGGAGGTGCGATTATTGTCTTGTCGGGAGTCAGAGGAATCGATCGGCCCAGAAATATGAGGCGCGAGAAAGAGCCGCTGTGTCAGATACAATAACCACTGGCTCCCGGGGGCTTAGCCACATTCACACAGAGCGTACAGACACCAATCTGCAGCGGACACAACATACACATTTATTTAGTTCCACGCAGTCGCCGACACTGACACGCGCGCACCAGCATCTTTCTTTTTCATTAACGCCATGCGCACACATCGCTCTGGTGCTGAAGGCAGCCCAATCATCTACATGCTTTGATGTGAGATACACAGCTCCCACATCTGTTCTGATCATTCTTCATGCACAGATAAAGGGCAAGGCGAGGAAAATGGCTCACACCTTTCACTCACGTCGCTATAAACAGACATAAACACACATCCACACGCACTCTCCAGACCTTTCACTGCTGTTGCCTGGCAACGTGGCCGAGTGTCCAATCCCAGCGCAGAACAGTGGCCAGTGATGTCACAGCTGCTGCTGACCAGCAGCTCTGAGGAGACAGAGGAGCCGAGGAGAAAGTTTGGACTGACACGGGCACAGGGAAGTGTGCAGAAGAGTGTGAGATAGTGATGAAGTCATGCACAATAATACACACATTATTTAAGCAGGTCACATGGGCTCAGGTCACATGGGCTCTGTCCCTGTGTCTATAACATAAACATGATCTAAAGTGCCCTCTGCGCTCCGAGTCTGCACTGAAGGCCATGTCCTTCCACTGTGCTCCTGTGAGCGTCCAGCAGCACAGACACAGATCTGAGCTCCAGCCTTGGCAGCGCCGTGGGAGAGAGCGCAGTGTCTAGACAAGCCTCACTCCCCATGGGCAGCGCACATGATGGAGAGAGGAGGAGATGTGAGAGAGAGAGAGGAGAAGATGTGAGAGAAGAATGGTGCTCGGAGAGGCCGGAGGAGCAGCGCGTGGAGAGGCATTAGACACAAGAGGCAGAGGTGTTGTAAAGGTGTACTGGCTGTGTGTCAGATGGCTTTGGTCCCATGACAGACACACTGTGAGAGTGTTTGAGCCCCCGCAGCTCTCATACAAACCTCCACCTCGACAGTCTCCACAGCGCCGCCCTGTTCACTTCATAATCCTACTGCTCCTCATGGGGCTACACCTATTTACTCTGTGAATTTAAATCTCTCACCTTGTAGAATAGACTCTGGCTGTGGAGTGTTGGGGACTTGCCTGGACTCCAGCTTTGTCCCTGAAAAGAAGAGGAATATGATGGATTATCTGAATTAGAGCCAGTGTGCTCTGCGGGCCTGGGGCTAGTCCACACGTAGGGGGCCGGAGTGAGAGGAGCAGCTCAGATCGGAACAGTAGACCCCTGAGTAGGCTGCAAAACATCACAACATTTTACAATAGTTTAAAATGGAGCTGGAGGACAGGTCAGAATACGATGGTAGTATTTGCTGTTTCGCTGTCAGGCTGCAGATTTGTCGACGTAGTTTATGGTTCACATCGTTTAATATCTCTGTAATTACTGGAACTATAAATTACCCAACAATAAGTGTTACCAAGTTCACCATCTTCTCTGTCAGAATAAATAAACAGAAGTGAAATATTTTTGTCGCAATAGCTCCAGAGAGGTGCGATTAGTCACCCGCTGTGTAATTGTTGGCAGTTAAAAGGACTCGAAGTCAGAAGATTAATATGACAAGTTTGTGGAGCCGATCCCAAACAAATAATGCGGTTCAACATTGGTGGATCATTGACTTTTATAAGTAAATCTCCCATAGAGTTGCATAAACCCTTTAAAAATGTGTAAACAAAAAAAGTCTAAATTCAGGAATGGAGCAAACTGGAGGCAAAAGTGAAGTGGAACATAATGTAATTTCAATGGAAAAACTGGGATTAGAGTCAGAATATCACAAAATATGAAAATACAAAGGAAATTTAGCAAATGAAAACCACTCAGATACATGTGAGTGATATCAGAGCCCAGTTTAAAAACATTTACAATTGCGTTTTACATTTTTTGTGTATGATAAACAAGATTATGATAAACACTAAGCATTTTTGATGAAAGAAAACCCCAGATTTTTAGGTTTTACTGGACAAATCCTTACAGAAACTACACTTCATTTACAGTTATATTACACAATTCACCATAAATTATACTTTTTTGTGAAGCTCAAATGCAATTTTGAGGTTAGAATATTGTTTTTCTTTTCATCCTTCTTAAAGAAAAGTAAAAAAACCTATACATGTACCTTGGAAATTCTAGATTTTTGTTCATTTTTGGTTATAATGTCGTAAAAACATGAGCATTTTTAGGTTTTATCGGACAAACCCTTTCTGGAAATTTGAGCCCACTACAGTTCACTTCATTTTCAGATACATTTCACATTCATTTAACTTTTTGTGAAGCTCAAATGCAATTTTGAGGTTAGAATATTGTTTTTTTTGCATCCTTCTTATATAAAAGCAAATTAACTAATATGTGTACCTTGGAAATTCTACATTTTTGTTTATTTTTGGTTATAATGTCATAAAAACATTGGCATTTTTAGGTTTTAATGGACAAGTCCTTACTGAAACTATAGTTCACCACTTCATTTACAAATATATTACACATTTCACCATAAATTCAACTTTTTGTGAAGCTCAAATGCAATTCTGAGGGTAGAAATGTGTTCTTCTTTTTCTTAAAGAAAAGCAAATAAACTAATATGTGCTAATATTTGTACCTTAGAATTTCAAAATGTTTGTTTCTTTTTGGTTATAATGTCATAAAAACATTGGCATTTTTAGGGTTTATTGGACAAATCCTTACTGAAAATTTTAGCTCACTATAGTTCACCACTTCATTTTCACCATAAATTCAACTTTTTGTGAAGCTCAAATGCAATTTTGAGATTAGAAATGTGTTTTTTTTTCATCCTTCTTAAAGAAAAGCTAATAACCTTGGAAATTCTACATGTTTTGTTTATTTATGGTTATAATGCCATAAAAACAGCATTTTTAGGTTTTATTGGACAAATCCTTACTGAAACTAGAGTTCACCACTTCATTTACACATTTCACCATTAATTAAACTTTTTGTGAAGCTCAAATGCAATTTTGAGGTTAGAATATAGTTTTTTTTTTTGCATCCTTCTTATAGAAAAAACAAATTAACTAATATTTGTACCTTGGAATTTCAAAATATTTGTTTCTTTTTGGTTATAATGTCATAAAAACATGAGCATTTTTAGGTTTTATTGGACAAACCTTCACTGAAAATTTGAGCTCACTATAGTTCACTACTTCATTTACAAATATATTGCACATTTTACCATAAATTCAACTTTTTGTGAAGCTCAAATTCAATTCTGAGGTTAGAAATGTGTTTTACTTTTTCATCCTTCTTATATAAAAGCAAATAAACTAATATGTGTAACTTGGAAAGTCTAAATTTTTGGTGATTTTTGGTTATAATGTCATAAAAACATTTAGATCAGCTTCTCAGTTAATCATTGCAAATATATAATGATCTGATTCTTTGCCTCAACACTCTGATGACAAAAGGTTTAAAGTGTCTATAGAAACCCACAAATCCTCGAACTAGAACATAACCTAACCTGCACTGACCCGTTCCACCACCAATCTCCTCCTCTCCTCCATCTTCTCCTCCTTGCCCTGATTCTTCATGCCTGTATTTTTCACCTGTCTTTCACCTCTCGCTGTCACTCCGTCATCCTATGCATCTTTAAACTATATTTCTCTATTCCTCCGTTTCTGTCTCTCTCTCTCTCTCTCTCGCTTTCCATAAGCTTTGCCCCCTCCTCTGCTCCCTCGTTCTTGTCTTTGTGACGGAGGAGTGATTGATGGCACTCCAGAGGCCCCGCTCCCCCATCGTCTCCCTGGGGTCCCACTATCAGATTGGGTATATGTGCTACTATGTGTTGTCCAATGGGCTCGTAGTTTCTCCACAAACACATTCACGTCCCGCGCTATAAAAAATCGTATTTATGAAGTTAGACCCCACAGCCACTCACCTGCTCTGGATGCTATTGTCTTCTCCTTTTCTTCTTCTTCTTCATCATTTCATTTGTATCTGCAATTAAAAACAACAAATACCATTAGTTACCGAAGCAAAGGTTTCAGAATAATGTAAAATTTGAGAAACATTTTGAGTTAAAAGCTAAATTTTACATCTTTCGAAATAAAAAAAAAGTAAATAGTGTGTAGATTCATGCATAATTTTCCTTCCAAATATTCAGAGTGATGAAAAATAAGCACTGTTGCCATAGAAATTAACAATTTGAATGGTAAACATTCACATTTTTAGGTTTTATTGGACAAATCCTTACTGAAGATTTGAGCCCACTATAGTTCACCACTTTATTCACAGATAATTACACATTTCACCATAAATTTAAGTTTTTGTGAAGCTCAAATTAAATTTTGAGGTTAGAACATTGTTTTGGGTATTTTTCATCCTTCTTATTGTTTCTTTTTGGTTATAATATCATAAAAACATTAGCATTTAGATCTGCTTCTTAGATACTATTGTCTTCTATTCTTCTTCTTCCAAAATAATGACAAATTTGAGAAACATTTTGAGTTAAAAGCTAAATTTTACATATAAGCACCGTTCTCGTAGAAATTAACAATTTGAATAGTAAACATCCGCATTTTTAGGTTTTATTGGACAAATCCTTACTGAAAATTTGAGTTAAAAGCAAAATATTACATCTTTCGAAATTAAAAAAAGTAAATAGCGTGTAGATTCATGCATAATTTTCTTTCCATACGTGCAGAATGATGAAAAATAATCACCGTTGTCGTAGAAATTAACAATTTGAATGGTGAAAGGTCACAGGGTGCACTTTAAGTTTTTGCTTTTTTTTTTTTTTTTAATACAAATAACCAAACCTAACCTAAAAATTGCACCTATAACATGAAGACTACAGCTTAAAACTGAGCTAGATTCTCAAAATACAGATGTTTTTTTTGCCTTTTAGCGCACTTTAACTATTACTTTTTTATTTTCTTATACAGCAAAAGTAATGTGATTGTTCAGTCGATTGGAGATTTCTATCAAAACCAGTGAGTCACCCGTGCAGCGTCCCATATTGTGTCCCCCCACCGCCTTATATATGAAATGTTGACAAAGGTGACTTGATTTCTAGAACGTAACCCATTTAGAAAATGTCCGACGACCTATACCTGGATGAGTGGCCTGCCTCGGTCGCCATAGTAACCACATCTCCGGCCTCCTTTGGGCAGGACGAACCCCCCGTGGCCGTGAACCGCTGGCCGTCCACAACCCGCAAACCTCCTCTCCGACGTGAAGCTATAGCGCAGTCAAATAAACACACAAGGACTCCGAGCGACGCACACACACGCACAAACGCACCACACACTCGTATATGTGGTAGTTATGTGGCTAGATTGGGGTTTGAACATAGGTCACGGCCAAAGTCGGGCAGCACCGACGACCTCTGACCTCCCGTAACGCCCTCCCCTCCGCAGTCTGTCTCCTCTTCGGACAGCAGAGTCTGATTGGAACGAGGTAATGACACATGCGCGGGACGATTTGGCGAAAAAAAAACGTAATTGTGATTTTTATTACGTTTGCGATTTATGTTTCAGAATCAGAATCTGGATTTATTTGTCATTTCTGTATAAAAATGCACAGAAATTGAATGGTCCAAGTCAACAGCAGCATAAATAATAATAAGAATAAATAGTTTAGTTATTGTAGATAAAATAATTCTGTGCAAAGTCCACATTTTAAACCAGAATTGACAAAAAGACCGAAATATGAACTGAGAAACTAATTTCAGAACGTGTTTGTACACATCTAAACATCATTCCTCATTTCATTTTTTATGCAGATTAAGATTAAGACATGACATTTTGTTATGTGTGGAGAAAATTACAGTTCTTAAACAGTTTTAGCCTTTACGATCTGCCAATTGTGTCCATTAAAATTGTGATTTTGATCAAATTTTTCAGCCCCACTGCCAAATTACTTACACTTTAATGTCTAAACCTCTAATTATTTTTTAAGGAAGATGAAGATAAGTCACTTTGAATGTATTTGCAGAATAAAAACAAGTAGATTCATAGTTAACTCACCAAAAAGTATGTTTAAAAACTAGTATTAGTGATATTGACAATAATAATAAGCGTGTATCAATAAATTTTTTGCATATTTTTCATATTTTTATTTGCAATCTATGAGAAATGTGTAAACGAAAGGTTAGGGTTAGTAGTATTGCACAACAAAGTCAATGAAATGTAAAAATGTAACAACAAACTCAAAATTTTCATCTTATTCTTTTGTCTGTAACTTCTTTTAAATATATTTGTAGATTAACTAGATTCAAATGTTGCATATTTTCCAAAACACCACGACAAACCAGAAAGTAAGGTTTAAAAACTAATTATTAGTGTTACTGACAGTAATAATAGGCGTGTATCAATAAATTGTCAGCATAATTTTCATATTTTTGTTTGCAATCAATGAGAAATGTGCAAAAAGAAGAAAAAAGAAAAGGTTAGGGTTAGTAGTAGTGCACAGCAAAGTCAATGAAATGTAAAAATGTAACAAAAAATGCACAAATTTCATCTTATTCTTTTGTCTGGTAACTTCTTTTAAATATATTTGCAAATTAACTAGATTCAAATGCTGCATATTTTCCTAAACACTACGACAAGATGATTCATAGTTCACTAACCAGAAAGTATGTTTTAAAACTATTATTAGTGATACTGACAATACTAATAGGATTATATCAATTATTTTTCAGCATATTTTTCATATCTTTCTATGAGAAATGTGCAAAACGAAGAAAAAGAAAAGGTTAGGGTTAGTAGTAGAACACAAAAGTCAATTAAATGTAAAAATGTAACAAAAAATGCACAAATTTCATCTTATTCTTTTGTCTGGTAACTTCTTTTAAATATATTTGCAAATTAACTAGATTCAAATGCTGCATATTTTCCAAAACACTAAGACAAGATGATTCATAGTTCACTACCCAGAAAGTATGTTTTAAAACTATTATTAGTGATACTGACAATAATAATTGGCCTGTATCAATTATTTTTCATCATATTTTTGTTTGCAATGTATGAGAAATGTGCAAAAAGAAGAAAAACAAAAGGTTGGGGTTAGTAGTAGTGCACAATAAAGTCAATAAAATGTAAAAAAAATGAAACAAAAAACGCAAATTTCATCTTATTCTTTTGTCTGGTAACTTCTTTTAAATATATTTGTAGATTAACTAGATCCAAATGTTGCATATTTTCCAAAACACTAAGACAAGATGATTCATAGTTCACTAACCACAAAATATTATTAGTGATATTGACAGTAATAATAGGCCTGTATCAAAATTTTTTTTTGCATATTGTTCATATTTTTGTTTGCAATCTATGAGAAATGTGCAAAAAGAGGAAAAAACAAAAGGTTAGGGTTAGTAGTAGTGCACAACAAAGTCAATAAAATGTAAAAATTTAACAAAAAACTCATCTTATTCTTTTGTCTGTAACTTCTTTTAAATATATTTGTAGATTAACTAGATTCAAATGCTGCATATTTTCCAAAACACCACGTTGTTGACAATTTATCACCCACTTCTGCAGAGTATTATGGGAACTGTGCTTGATTCTTGTTTTATTTATTTGTTTTTTAATGCAGAATGTCTAATTTTTCTGCATTAACTCTTGGCAAGACGCACAGAAGTCAGCTCTTTTCCTCGCACTCGGCACTTCCAGCGCGTCTGTCCACTGTAGTGCACTGGCCAGTTGTAAATCACCACATAAAGTATTTATAAGGTTAAACTTGGGAACTCTGCTGTCGTTAGCTTTTGAATTAGTGAACTCGAATCGAGAGGGAGAGCAGGGACGGCCAATATACCGCGGGAGGGAGGGGGGGTCAGGCGCACTCCGCTCTGACCGGAGCTCACAGCGCAGTGGAATAAAAGAACCAACAGTGCCACCTTGCGTCCGCCCACGACGCAGCACGCACGAGTTTGGAGTGACAAAGAAAAGTGATGCGGGGATATTGCTGAAAGCTACTTTTTGTGCGTCAAAATTGTGCTTGCATCAGATTGTTAAACCAAGTAGGCGAGGCAATAAAGCTTCAAATGTGCCCTGCTACTTTTCTGTCAAATCCACAGAACCGGGTGAAGCCTTATTGAGCTTTTGTTTCACTCATTTAGCTACAACTTTTTGTCTTCTCCTGTTTTACTGCAGCCACATGAATTAGAAAACGTGAGATTTGCATACATGTTTTTATATTCTGTCCTTGTATAAGTACTTTTTACTTCAGTCTAAACCCTTTCGGCCACGATCTATGGGATTGTAGTCTATGTTTTGTTTTTGTTTTGTTTTGTAATGCTGCAAAATGACTAAACTACTACTACTACTACTCCTAAATACGTTTTTGGGGCGCATGCGTAATTTCTGGGTTATATTAGGTTTCAAAATCATGTCATTTATTGCAGTATTTATGTATTAGTTTAATTTCTGGGTTATATTAGGTTTCAAAATCATGTTATCTATTGCAGTATTTGTGTATTAGTTAAAATTTCCTGACTCCTCACCTCCCTTTTCCCACAATCCCCAGCGTGTGCACTATCTTTTCCAACGATTTGTGGCGGTCACCCCTATAGAAAACGCGCGGGGGTTGAATGAACTGACAGCAGATGTTCCTTCTGGTGCTTTGGTCAGTGGCTTGTGCGTGTTTGTGTGTGCGCGCGTAAAACGTACATGAGAAGCGTTTGGAGTGACGCGTTCCTTCTTTCCACGAGGCCGGGGAGCGTGGATGTCTCACAAGTTCTGTCAGTGTCAACCACCTTCTCATGACCACCGTACGCCCACGCGCATGCTCAAGTCTCCACAGGCGACCGCACTCGGTGACAGTCAGTAGGCCTACACTCTTGAGACGAAAAAGAAGAAATTACAACTTGATGTTACGTCCCCTAGTCCTTTAAGAGTGGCATACCTGTTTCTTTTTAGCATTTCTTGATGTTTAAGTGTATTTTTTTTATCACCAAACCCTCGATACACACTCATTTACACCCTTTTGCAGTCGTAAAATGTTGATTGTTGTTGATTACATTTACGACTTAATGCAAATTGTTAGAAACGTCGCAAAAAACATTTTAAAAACCGTGAATCATCTCGTGTTTAATTGAGAGAAATGCCTACAATTTCAGATCTGCTTTAGGGTTTCTTAACTCCTTTTCACGCGTTATTTTGTTTTGTTTTAGCTCAGATTTCGTCCTTGTTACGCTCAGTTTCGTTTCAATCTTCTTCAGGCCTGGTTTAGTGCTGGTTTAGCCCGGACTTTGTGACCTCTACGCTGCACACACACACTACGAGCACGGCCAGACCAGAAGTCAAGCTCAACTTTGCTCTTCTCTCTCTCTCTCGCTGTTTCTGCCTCTCACACGTGTCATTGTGCGTGTCGTGCGTGAGCGTGTTTCCAACGTCGCCATCACTTTCCACCGGCATCACCAGCAGCCAACCTCCACGTTTTCACCGCGCGTATCTCTCTGCGATCACTACGCCTTCTCCCACTCTCTCTCTCTCAGCGCGTCCGTGTCCCCCTTTTTTCACGGGTGCCTCTTGGTACACAGCAGTTCCTACTCTTTTTAATTTTACTTCCTGTTGTGCTCTTGCAGGATGTGGGGACGTGGGGGGCGTGGTGTTTAGAGAGGTTCTGATGCGTAATAAGAATCTCTCAACCATATGATTTGATACACTCCTCCTTTCGGGCGCATGAGAGAGAAGTACGCGGCGCGTAGAGGGGACACTGTAACAGATATGAGCACGGCAGCAGCTATAGCGGCGAGGGACTACTCCAGTATGTGGCTGCCAGGTGAGTGTGATGCCTTTACGTCTGCGCACGCACGGGCCTCTTCGTTACGTGCGTCTAACTGAAAGCGTGGAAGTTTTGGGGGTCAGTTTAATTTCATTTGTAAACAGACATTAAGATTACAAAAAAAATATATATACACAGACACAAAAAGAGAGATTCTCCGCGCCAAATCGTAGCAAAAATATCTAGATACCACCTGCAGGAATAATTACACAACGCAATTACTCAGAGTCAACAGTAATAATTCGTTATCGCCACTCTCTGACCCATATCTACGCTGCGCACACGTTACACCTACACGACTACCACACATCTGTCAGCAATGAGCATTTTTGCGTCTAGAAATTCACGAGTTGACTAATACAGAGCCTATTTATGTTGCATCACATTTGCATTAGGCCTGGTAAATGATGTAATCAAAATGTGCAGCGTTTTATTTGTTTATTTGTGTTGTTGTTGTTTTTTTTTATTATTATTATTATTCGTCGTATTGCAGGTAAAACTGAAAATACGACGTGCCACATCAGAGGTTATTAAAGTGAAAGTATGGAATGGGGGGGGGGGGGGGAGAGCCAGTGTTGCTTAATGTCACGGCGTCTATACGAAGCTAATTAGGAGACTTCAAAGAGCGCGTGAGGCGGTGAGGAGAAAGGAAAAAAAGGGTGGATAGAGAGGTAGTGGACGGAGGGATGGAGAGGTGGAATAGACGGTGGAGATGGTGGAGTGAAAGGTCAAGCACTATACGCCGGTCCATATGCTGTCACGTCGTGTTACGTGTGGAGGGACAGGTGCTTTTGTGGCCCACGTCAGGAATGGAGAGAGAAATGGCTGTGCGTAAAAATGCGTAAAAATGCGTAAAAATGCGTAATTTACTGTATAATGAATCTGTGCGTAATTTTGTCTCAAGTTTCTCCAAAAAGCCCAACTATAAGCTGTACTTCACTCATAATAACTAGGCCTTTTACTGTCTTATTAGCCTATAATCATATTCATAAAATCAGTAGTAGTATAATTGAAGTAGTAGTAAAAGTATTGTCTGTTAATTGCAATTTTACAGCCATGTAAATAAATGTACAGTAAGTTGTAGCTGTTTGTATAATCGTCATAATCACTCATACACTGTGAAACTAATCAGACAGCTTTATTGTCTAAATAAGGGAAGTTCTTGAGCTGAAGTGCTTTGCTGAATAGGTTTGAAGTTTTAAGTGATTTTTTTATTTTATTTTATTTTTTTTTTTTGCCAAAACGTGTAAGAATATGTAACAATTTTAAAGTCAGTTTCAGAAAAAAAAAAAAAAAAAGTATCATTACAACCTCAGCATCCTCCCAGGTTTCAGTGTGGGCGTTCTTCAGTGACCACCTGCTTAGTGACGCATACGTTACGATAAATCAGGTCCCTAAATGCCATTGATGAACGTATAGATTAAATCAGATGACCTGCCGTTATCTCTGGTCACGCAAGCCCCAGGTTGACACCCATCTGACCACATTCAAATGTTCAAATTAGGCGTTCGGACTGACTCATGGTGTGACTCATGTTACGTGAGAGAACTGACATATCAACAGTTTATCTATTCAATTACGTACGAAAAGCAAAAGTATATATATGACGTTTATGTATTCATAATTCTGTGACTTGTCGTGATCCTATACAGTGAACTGAACCATTAAAATGTTAAAACGTGCTGTAAAAAGAGCTCAAACCCTTTTCTAAATGACTACACAATTTGAAACTGCAGTATTTTCTACGTTATATTTACATGTTTTGCTAAGAAATGAGTTTATACTGTTTGCATCGCTTCTGTGCAACAATACTTGACCTTAACCTTTACTGATCTGAGAAAAATGCAAATTGAGATACTGTTTTTATCACGTTTAGTATCAAAAGTGGGAAGTGAGTATGTGTGCAGTTGTATTTACTTGAGTAGCTTAAAACTGTACTTCTTGGAGTAGTTTTTAGACACCGTACTTTTACTTCTACTTGTATATTTCACACCGCAGCAGTGCTCAAGTTAAAGTTTTGGTTACTTGTGCCACTGTGAGTAAATCTAAAAATGGAAAAGTGACAAAAGCTTTAAGTTGATGATATGAAATGATTTGAACATCTGTGTTTTTGGTGATTTTTTTTTTTTTTTTTTCAAATTTTGTGGTCGGTCCTTTGAAAAAAACTGCATTTCTGCATTTTAAAATACAGACACTCCTCTTGAATAGTAATTTCCCCACTACTACTTGAGTGATAATATTTTTGAAGTAACTCTTGAGTGAAAATTGACCATACTACTGACATTTTCTGCATATTTTCATCCATATTTGTTAAGCGACCATCAAAATTACGGTCAAATTCTCATCTTTTCTCATTCCCTCTTCGTCCACATCGCATTAAATTCCTTCGATTAAGCCTGTTTTTCAATGACCACCCCTCGCCCCCCTGAGCGGTCTCTGAGCTGTAAACTCCACTGTGGATTCCCAGCAGCCCCCTCGGCACTCGGGTCGTGACCTGAATCGGGAAGTGGAGTTTGGGGGTGCGTTTGAGCCCATTGGCCAAACAGTTTCATCTTAACCAGCCCCAAAATACCCCAAAGAGACAAAGTTAAAAGTGCCTATTCTGTGCACACATGCTGTTGTTTCCTGTCCAATATTAGTTGTGGTGAATGATGGATAGAAAATATAGATAGATAGAAGGATAATACAGCCGCTCTGAACCACTGCAGCTCAAAAAATGGACTTTAAGGAACATTTTTATGCTCTGGAGAAATAGAAATCTGATTCTACACACTGCAAAAAGCTGTAATAACTACATTTTTATTGAATTTTTAACAATTCTTATAGACTCTCTTATAGATTTTGATTTGTTTCTTATATTAAAGATGCACTCTGTAACTTTTCTGAAGGCGGGTATGCCACCTGCCTGTCTCCACGGCGATGAAACTGCTCTGTCTTGAATGTTTCACCGTTGTGCGTCACATTTATTCAATTACAAGTGTTTATGTTGCTCAGAAATTGCGTGAAAACATGGATTTTCGCCGTCGGTGGGGTCGCCTCGCCGCAGATCTGACTCGTAACGTGGCTTCGTGGCGTCGCCCGCTCGTCTCCGTGGTGAAATGTAAGGTTAAAGCTACCGCGGGACATTCCACGTTCGATGGTAATTAATGTCATTTGTTTAAGATTTCAATGGTTCATTAAATTACAAACAAAAAAATTTCCAAAACAAAAAAAAAAAGTAAACTGACTATTTCCTTCTGAAAGGTCTTCAGTGCCCCAACTTTGCCACAAACCTGAATTTGAAAACATGAATCACAGCCATGACTAACATGAGATAATGAGTCTTATCTTGCCCCAAACTCAAAAGTTCATTTACCCTTTTTACCCAACTCGTGATGAGATGTTTCCATGATCGGTCAACCATATATTGGATTTTTGTGCTTAAACAAAACGACGAAGCAGATTATGAAATTTGAAATGATAATTAGTCATCAACAAAACAACGGAAGTAAGTTCATCTGTGCCTTTCTATGACCAAACAACAGTGGAATCGTTTATTTTCTTTTATTTGTGTTATTTCATCAGTGCTGGAAGAAGTACTCAGTTTTGTTAATGAAGTAAAAGTACAGATACTAGAGCAATAAAAATACTCAAGTAAAAGTGTCACATGAAAAATCTAGTTAAGTCAAAGTATTAAAGTAAATTTTGAAGTATTTTGCATGGATTTTGAGATCTAATAACGCTTCAAATGTGATTTCGAAAAGATTTACGTTGAATTTTGTTCACCAGAACCAACTGAATCTGCATTTTTCCTGCTTTTATTTGTATATTTTCATTTACTCAAACTATGAAAATGTTCAAAATAAACCCTCAACCTTTTCAGCAGGTGTCCCACTATTAAAAAAATACTTTTACTTTTCATTTCAGTTCAGAAATGTAGTGTAGAAAGTTCAGATACCTGCTCTCAAATGCAGTGGAGACTTAAAAGTAAAGCACAAATGCCTTAATTTTCTGCATTTAATTGTAGTTTTAGTCATGATTTTTGAGTTTCATCGCGTTTTTATGAGCTCAACAACAACTTTGAACCGATAAAATGAAACTGGCGTAGTCAACTAAATGTGTTTTCTTCAAGTAAAGTGCGATGTTCGAGCAGGTACAGAAGGATGGAGAGAAAGAAGAAGCTGCATTTATGATGGCCTTAATATTAATAGCCCGGCTGACAGTAAGTGTCGGGTTTAGCGCTTGGTGTTCAAACCGGTCCAAGGGGGAAGTCGCTTGGGGAAGTGAGAGAGACACAGAGAGAGGGACCTTCTGATATACTGTCCCCTCACTATATTATAAAAAACATTAGCTGCATACTGTGTACACGCAAACCATCCATCAATACGAGACTAGGTATTTGTTTTGCTTGGGTTTTAGTCAAAGTTCTTTTTCTTTTTTATACATGTCCATGAGAACTGGGAAAAATACAAAATAATACAAGAATCACTTTACAGAACATGTTTGTGCAGATGTTAAAGATAAACTACAGGCTTTACGCAGAAGAAGACAGCGAAGATATTTGGTTGTTTCTGAAGGAAATTAGGGTAAATTTTAGAAGATTTCTAATTTGTGTCCTTTCAAATTCTAATTTTGATTCAATTTAGATGAATCTCTTAGCACTATACACATACCTTTCACTGGTGTTTATGTTAGAAATTGGGTTGCA